TCCCAGTCGCGTGTCTACGTAAGTATTCGTATATAATTTCTTTCTTTTTTTTTTTCTTTCCTTATACATATACATATATGCATATACATATATGCATATATATATATGTGTGTGTGTGTGTGTGTATGGATATAGGTATAGATGTACTTGATAATATGAAACTCCTTGATAAAAACGCGGCTTTCGTGCATCTTTTATCAGCGTGAAAGCTTCTAGACTAGGCGAATGACGACTATATTTAGAAAAGTTTCATTTGAAAAGAGCCGTAAGAAATAAACCGTAGTTTCTTTTCTAACTGTTTCCTATGAAACTTAACTCTATTCTACAAAAATGAAAGTTAGACCTGTAAGAGAGAGAGAGAGAGAGAGAGAGAGAGAGAGAGAGAGAGAGAGAGAGATAGAGAACAGGAAAGAAATAAGGAATAATTTTATCGCAATGAAAATTGATTTTTTTACGTCGATAAATAAAACTCATTGATTTCTGTGAGTAAACATTTTTCATGGAAGTAAACGATCTCCTTTTTATAATTCAGTTATATTTGTGATTGTATTGTCAGTGTGTGTTAATTAAAATAATTTTTATACGTTATCGAGAAATATGGGAATTACAGTGGAAGGAACGAAAAAGAAAAAAGAAGGTAAAAGAGAGGAAGAAAAAAAAAGAGGGGGGGGTGGGGGGAAAGAAGAAAGAGAAGAAGAAAAAAAGGAAAAAGCTTTTACGATACGATACGATACGATACGATACGATACGAAAGGGTGGTTCGGTTATTGGTACGAATAAAAAAATATCGCTATATAAAAATTCATTTTTTCACGACCGTTGAAAAATTTTTCCATCCAAACGCATGACGCTGATAAGTGATTTATGAGACTTCGGCGAAAATACAAATTCGATATGAAATTCATTGGCATTGAGGGAAATGCATCGGTGAATTCACGTAGTTGCACACGTTTCATATTAAAATAACATATAATATACCTCCATACTTGCGAACCATCGCAACATCGAATGGAAATATAACACTCAATGAATATACACATATAAAAAAAAATATATATATATATATATATATATATATTGGTATATATATATATATATACATATATATGAGTACGCGTTGATATATAAGTGAGTTGAATATTTAACATTTATAACGGTGGATATACGGTGTTATATGAAAAAATATTTTATGTATTAACTGGATAAATAAAAATATAATGTAATACCTGTGCCTGCACCGCAGCAAGATCCAACTGTGCGACGCCCAGCTCAAAACGTTTCATGGAAATATTTTCTTGTAATTCGGCCACCTTCGTATAAAGATTACCTTCGGCACTTCTAAATAAAAACAAATATTCAACAAACAAATAAGCAAAACGATCGAACTTCTTTTTTCTTTCTTTTTCTTTTTCTTATTTCTTATTTCTTTTTTTTTTTTCTTTTTTTTTTTTTATTCATTTTTTTTTATTTATTTGTCAGATAGCTACGTGGAGTTTCTTTGAAATCTTTTGCCCCTTTCTTTTTTCCTTTTTCTTTTCTTTTCTCTTTCTTCTTTTTAATCGTTCCTTGTTACTGTTTCCTTTAATTTTCTTTTTCTCATTTTTTTTTTTTTTTTTTTTTCTTTTCTTTCGTACAAATCATTGATATTTACAATAAAAGCGATAATATATATTTCAACGAACGCTTGAAAGCCCTAACATAAACGCGAACTTATTTTTTTTTTTTATGCATTTTATAAGAATTCATATTCTGACTGAGAAGAATGGAGAAAGTTTTATTATAATAACTACGATGGGAAAGTATAAAGTTCGCGTTAGGATTCGTACGAAATGAGAGATGGATTTCTTTTCGACTTCTTGAAAATTAATTATGAACGATAGTAAATAAAGAAGATAACGATGATTATGATGATGATAATGATAATGATGAAGATGAAGATGAATGAAAAGAAAGATAATGATAATAATAAGAAGAAAAGAAAACAAAACAAAAAAGGATAATACTTACTTGCGTTGCATTCGAATCAATGTGTCCAAGGCGTCTTGTAGTCTTCCTATTTTTTGTGTCAAACTATCGTGTTCCCTTTTAAGTTCTTCCATAAGTGGCACAGTACTGATACCGGTAGGTACCAATTCATCTCTCAGCTGTAGTATTTGCGTAGCCTTTTCGACTGGTACTTGTTCTGGTCGTGAAAGTGCAACGAACAAACGTCGTACTGGTTTACGTGGCGTTGCATTGGCCGACAAATTGCGTGCCAGGGTCTATGAAAAAATATTTATAAAAATAATAATTATATCATTACAAATCTTTAGATATATCTTTATTCTACATATTCATCGATCGTATTAACGATGATCGAGAAATAAATAATTTCTGGATTTAAATCGTAAAACTTCATTAGAATTGTTTGTTTGATATTTTTGATAGTAAAAAAAGAAGGAAATAAACAAAAAAAAAAAAACAAAGAAAAAGAAAAAGAAAGAAGGAAAAAGAAATTAAACTCATAGAATGTATATATATATATATATATATATGTATGTGTGTATGTATAGTGGCTAATAAATAGGGGTCGTGTTTAGTTAGATGGCCTTATTGCCGATCAACATGAAAGGAGTGAATGACTATCGTCAGGCTTCGTGTACAAATAGATAAGGAACGAATTTGATCAGACACGATCTATATACTACAGTATATGCTACATGAACGTTGCAATATCGTCGGATACTGATAGAATATGTTAGCTCAATTTGACAGTGATTCTCTGTATATATACACACAACATATATATATATATATAATATGGGGGTAATTCGAGGACAAGATTTGAATAGGATCAAACATTTTTTATGTGTCCTCGTATATCGATAAAACTATTGATACAAAACATATTCACTTTATTATATGAAAAAAAAAAAAAAAAGAAGAAAAAGGAAAAAGAAAAGAAACTACGAATAGAATTTTTTCTTTTTTCTTTTTTCTTTCTTTTGCTTCTTCTCATAAAGACATATAACGGATTTAAGAGAAAAAAAAAAAACAAAAGATTTACCTGTAAATCGTTAATCGGTAGAACGGTTTGAGCATCCTTTCCAACATTTTGATAACGTTTTGCTTGTTCGCTGGTACGTTCGTATGCTGCTTCCGATATACCAGCGACGCATTTGCAAGCCAATCCGCAAAGTTCCTCGTAGACCTCGGCTATTTCACCGAGTAAACCAGGCAAACAATGGCTCTGATAACATTCGGTTATAGCATTGGTAGCTCTCAATTGAAGAACGTAAGCATTGTGAGCTTCGAAGTATTGACGCTTCAATTCCGTTTCGTTTCCACCTTCGTTCGTTAATAAGGACGCATAAGAACGTTTATAATCAGCTCTGGCTCGTTGCAATTTCTCTTCGGACTTTGCAATCTCTTGTTCGTAACCTTCGCGATACGAGAAAACCTGTGGGAAGAAGAAGAAGAAGGAAAAAAAAAAGAAAAAAGAAAAGGAAAAAAAAAAGAATCAATTAAACGAATTTTTCTTTTTTTCTTTTTTTTCTTTTTCATTTTAATCTCCCGCTATACCCTCTCTTCAATCCTCCTCCCTTCCTCCATCACCACCAAATATTACTTATTCAATTTCTGTTGGAATTATTTTCTTGGTTGTTCAAGAATTAAACGAATTTAATTTCGAATTTCTGTTGATTGAAAGAATATGATGAAAAGTGGGACAAGATATTCGAATCTAAATTAATTTTTTTAATTAATTGAAAAGCACGAATGATTCAGTACGTTCGTTAACTTGTTCTCGAAATTAATGAAATTTTTGAGAAGGACAAATGTGATATATAAATTTGATATAGAAATGTATATACACGTATGCATGTATGTATGTACGTGTACTTAGGCAATGTTACAAATTCCTTGTAAATTTCGTCGATTCAAGGTTTAAACCTTGATCTTCTATGTTTAATCCACATGAATTACTTATTATATTTGCGTTTAGGCGTGACGATTTCTAACAGATTATGAAAACGAAATCTCGGCCATTGATTATATTCTTGGTAATAAGAGAATTCTGTATAACAGCCAAGAACATTAACGTATAGATACAATAGCAATAAGACAAAGAAAGAGAGAAAGAGGAAGAAGAAGAAGAAGAAGAGAGAGAGAGAGAGAGAATGTAAGAAGTGAATTTAGGCTTTTTAAATTTTTTCATTAATGCGACGAGCTGTTTGGCAAAGAGTACTTTTTAGCAACACATAACTATTTATTTCTTTTTGAAAGATCTCCTTTTAGAACTAGCGGGTAACTCGAGCCACAGAACGCGTTTCAATTAATTTTTTTTTTATCCCGCTTTTCGTGCTTAAAAATAATATTTTTTATTTCACTTTTTTGATTCTTTTCTTTCCTTTTTCTCCTTTTCTTTTTTTTTCTTTTTCCAGATAATTTCAGTCCGACGAAATTAAAAGTGTAGAAAAGAAAAAAAGGGATAAACAAAGACGACATCTCGTGTATTTAAATACATAGTAGAAATGAAAATAATATATCTGTCTATTCATAATAACGAAAGGAACAGGTTCGTTAGACGTCGCCTTTTTTTTGTTTTTTTTTTGTTTTTTTATTTTTTTTGGAGTCTTTCTTTTTTTTTCTTTTATCTTTTTCTTACATATAGATAACAAGACAGTGCGATAGAGAGGGAGAGAGAGAGAGAGTGAGAGAGAGAGAGAGAGAGAGAGAGAGAAAGAGATTATAGTAGGTACTCACCTTACGTGATTGAAACTTTCTATGAAAGCTCGCCTCTATGGTTGGCCTTGAGAGTTGCTGTTGCAATACCGCGGCAAAATCAAGATGCGAGACAGCATCAGCCTCGACTTGTCTCAATAAATTCTCCCAAACGCGTCGCATACCGCTAGAATCGAGCCGTGGCTCACCGGATCGGCTTCGAAACTCGTCGACCAATCTGCGTATGTTAGCCGAATGATTCTCCATGGCTTCTCCAAATTCTTGAGCGAATTCAGCGACTACAAGTGATGATAAGAGAGAGAGAGAGAGAGAGAGAGAGAGAGAGAGAGAGAAAGGAAAAAAAAAGGAAAAAAACAATGATTCAATGAGAAGAAATTATTCATATCTTAAAATTATATATTATATTATTAAGTGAAACGTTTAGGTGGATATATTTTCTAATGAGAAAAAAAAAGAAAAAGAACAATAAAGAAATTTGACACACGATAGAAGTTATATTAGAAGAAGAAGAAAAAAAAAAAAGAAATTATCCATCAGACAAAGTTAGATTACAAAGTTCTTTCCTTTTTCAAATATTTTTTCTAAGCGTGTTAAATTTGATATAAGCACGCATCGACGTTTTTATACGCATTTTCTGTTTGTCTCCGTTTGTCTGTCTGTATGTATATGTGTATTCGTGAAAGTGTATAATTCTTTTTTCTTTCTTTCTTTTCCTTTTTTTTAGAAACTATCATTAAACAATGCCACGAATCATTCCATGAAAGTCTCATCTAATGTTATCGTAAGTCGATTGTGTTCTCCTTGATCGAAAAATAGTCGACGTTTGAATTCACTCGGAAGTTTATTTCTCTCTCTCTCTCTCTCTCTCTCTCTTTCTCTTTCTGTCTTTCTGTTTCTCTGTCTTACGTATACACAAGCGAGCGGGCTCACACATACACGAAATCATGATACCATAGATAAATGAATTTCGAGAGATATTCGAAGGAAATTTAAATCACGATGTAGATTACGTCGCACGTCCCGTCTTATACATATTTTATCGAGGCCACGATACGCAAGGGGAAAACTGTAACTGATCGAGAGATGAGGAACACGTGTTATAGTAATATGCATATTTTAGAATAATGTATTTTTCATTTTTCTTCTCTTTTTCTTTTCTTTTCTTTCTTTTGAAAAAAAAAAGAACGAAGAAAATAAAAATTTTCTTTAGAGAGAGAGAGAGAGAGAGAGAGAGGGGGGGGGAGAGAGAAAGAGAGAGAAGAAGAAGAAGAAGAAGAAGAAATGAAATGTCGCTCACGTGTACGCGAGTGCATCGATCAAAGGAAGAAAAAAGATATGTATATATATATATATATATATATACATATTTTTTCGAAAGTACTTTATTATAATAACATCTACATACGTGTGTATGTGTGTGTGTATGTGTGCTAGGAAGAAAAAATACAGATCGAGAAAGCACACTAGAGGGACATACATATCTCAAAAATCATGTTACATTAGAAAGGTCACTTTTATATTTTTAAGCGTGAGACGAATATAACATCTAACTGTTCGTCGTTGTAAATGTTATATGTTACACTTTAATAAACACGCTCACGATATTATTCATTCTGTGAGTGTACCATCATCCGTTATTTTCTTGCGTCTCTACCAAAAGTCAACTTGGCCGATTTAACGAAATTAACAGGGAACAAGGACGATCTATGTATAAAATGTGTTTAAAACACGTACGTAATATGTATATATAAGACAGTGAGAGAGAGAGAGAGAGAGGGAGAGAGAGATTATTTATTAAACGTGCCGAATTTTCGTTTCTTAGATAATAGCAATGTGTCTAACGTATACGTATACACATGCATTAGTAATTTCTATTCCATTGTCGTGAAAATACGTTCACGGCAACGTACGTTCGTAAACGTCATACTCTGTTAGTTCATAACGTGGGTGTGAGTAGTATCTCTTCTACATGAACGACGTGAAATCATTATTTCTGCTCGTAGGCACGTGTTTGGCGTCGATACGTATTTATCCCACATCTTGAGTATCTATATATATATATGCTTATCTATCTATACATAGTAATACGTATGTATGTATGCGTGTGAAAGGGAAGATAGAAGTAAAGAGAGGAAGAACTTGGCAGAAAGATTTTGAAGCTTTATATACGATATGTCTCTCCTACGTTTGGTTACGTGTAATGATTACCTATTAAATCGAACAAACTATAAATCTGTCGAAAGTTCCTTCTCTCTCTCTCTCTCTATCTCTCTCTCTATCTCTCTCTTTTTTTCCTTTTTTTTACCTTATTTTTTAAATGCTGACAAGGGAATCACGACACGTAGTTCTCAATTTCCTTTTGCGGTTCAGGGGATTTGTAAAGGGCTTATAAAAGAGAGAGAGAGAGATAGATAGAGATAGAGAGAGAGAGAGAGAGAGAGAGAGAGAGGGTGGGGGAAAAAAGAGAAGCTTATATATGGGGCAGAGGTTAAGGGGAATAAAGATCGATAAGGTTTATGATTTAGTTTCGATATAGAAATTAAGTTTCTACGTGAGAAGCCTCAAAAGTTAATACGAAGTATGATCAGAATCGTAATTTTTTTCTTTCTTTTTTTCTTTTTTTTTTTTCTTTAAGGATGACATTTAACGAACAACAAATTTAATTGCTCTATAAAATTCTTCTTTATTGTGTTATAACGCGTTTGAGAATAATTATTTCATCTTATTTGACTCTTCTTTTTTTGTTTTTGTTTCTTTTTTCTTTTTTTTTTCTTTTTCTTGCTTTGTTTGTTTGTTTTTTTTTTTTTTTTCGTTTTCTTTCTTTCTTTTTCAATTCAATTACAAACAACGCAAATTTCATGGAACGACGATGAAAGTTGTTAGCGTTGTATCGGTAATCAGATCCATCGAAGAATCTAATTGCATCGTGGAATGTTCCTTATTAAAAAGAAAGAAAAAAAAATCTCGTCAAATAATTTTCTTGCACATTAATTCTTTTTTCTTTTTCTTTCTTTCTTTTTTTTTTTTCTTCGTTGTCTTTCCTTTTTCTTTTCCCTACAAGGACTTATTATTTCCGTAAGATCTTCCGTGATAATAATTAAAGTTAAATTGTTAGCGTTAGTATCGGTAATCGGATCCAACGAAGAATTCAATTGCATTGGAAAGTTTTTTTTTGTTTTTCTCCTTTTTTATTTATTTTTTTTTTTTTTTTTTCGTTATATCTCGTAAAATAATTTCTTTGCGCCGTTTTATTTCGTTTCTTCTCTTTTCTTCTTTTTTTTTTTTTTGTAATTACAAAACAATCGAAGTTTCACAAGTAATGCCAAAAGTTGATGACGAAAGTTATTCGCTTTGAGTTTTATACGTAATCAGATATATACAACGTAAAATAATTTAATTTTTGTTCCTTTGGTAATATTAAAAGAACAATTAAATGATAATTGTCTTTAGAAATAAGAGAGAAGTTGAGGATAAAGATTTTCCATCTTGAATATTCTATATACTTTTCTTCGGACCCTTTAACGTCTCAATAATTTCTCTCTTACAATATTAAATAACACGAACGTGTAAATCCGTTCGAGAAAGGGACCCTTGTTTCGAAGTTTGACGTCACAAACATCGGTAATTCGATATCGTAAGTCGACCTTCGAAAGCTCTTAAACTTTCTCACGTCATTTTCATTTCATTGATTTTTCTATACCTTTCTATCGAAGATATTTTTAAAATATATCGTAGAAATATAAATAAGATATATGTATACGTATATATACACTTGTTATATAATAATGATAATCGATGCATTTTTATTTAGAAAAATTACAACATTATGAAATTGATTAATAAATAAATGTGAGGTATCGTCAGTTCCAAGCTCGTATATATATATATATATATATATATATATATATATATATATATATTTTATTCTCTAGAATAGAATCTTGTATCAGAGAATTAATTCTTGAATACATACTACTTAAGAGCTATTAAGTATTCTGTCTGTCGATCAACGGTAACACGTTCATTTTGATATAACGAAAATGGATACCACCTTGGGTTAGATAAATGAGATCCTACTTAATAGTGCCAACATCGTAATGATTAGAAAACGTCTGATTAGAAGGTGGATGTTTACATATTCATTATATTTTCCTTAACGAAGGAGTTCAATCTATTATATTTAGATCGGTATTGCATAGTTTACATACATTAGATAAATATTTAATTATAAATTTTTCAATGAAATTTTATTCAAATTGATACACGTATATATATATGTATATATATATATATACGTGTATATATATATGTATCTCATTGAAAGATGAATTTTTAGTCCATCGTAAATTTTAATGTTTTCAAAACATTTCTTTTCTTTTTTTCGAACGTTCTTATAAACTTAAACAATTCTGAGAATTCGAGTGTGTTTATAATATTTGATAATATTGATTAGAGTGTCTCATGTGTATTTGTTTATCATTGTGAATGGATAACCTTGTACGAGTCGACTATGAAATACACTGATATTTTAACATATTAGTAGTGTTCGAACTTTCGAAGAAGAAACATCTCGTTACGTCTTAGCTTAGAAATATCGTTCATTAAAATAATTAAATATTAACGATAGATAATTTGTCGATTAATTAATTACGTATTATTAATTAATTAATATAGAATCTTTCCTAAGAGATATAATTATTTAAGATTAAATCATTATATAGACATAATAAATATTATATATTATAATTAAATTCATTTTTAAAAATTTAATACAGATTTGTTACCACGTGTCATCGAATTATTATTATTAAGGATTATAAAGAAGGAAGTTTCAGAGGATTTCGAAAAAGACAGACAGACAGAAAGACAGACAGACAGACAGACAGAGAGAGAGAGAGAGAGAGAGTATCATGATTTTTTTCGTGACCTCCATCCATCATATCATGCTTTAATTCCAGTAAGCTTACTACACGTCGCAGCTTTACACGAGAGTAATCTTCTTTCGAAAGAAAGCTTTGACCTCTTCGCTAGTATTATATATATATATATATATATATATATATATATATATATATATATATACATATACGTATGTAGTTATGTATACAGCAATAACTTTCTCTCATCAAACATCATGCATGCCCACCTCAGTAGGCATTAATGTGAAATATTTATCGTGTTCTTAAACGTAGGAGTGCAATCCATTCGACCCATTTTCCCGAAGTGAAATATCGTAATATCACGAATTGGCATCGTTTTCAATATTAAAAAAATAACG